GATTACGCGACTTTTCTTACTATTCGTATCTCTCTATTTCTTTCTCTATTTCACAATTTTGACGAGAAAAAGAGAGAGAAAGAAAGAGAAAGAGAAATAGACATAAGTATGGAAACGTAATCCAAAAGATATATTCATTCTAACAAAGCAAAAGTCGAATTAATGATCATTCAAGAGAATATTTTGTATCTAATTTTAAATGTTCTTTGAAACTTTTACAATACACGTAACTTTATTTATTATTATAAGTTTTATCTTATATATTTGTATTTTAGAATTTCATGTGTTGAAGAAAGTAAATTAATTATTAAAAATAATTAGATAATAAAATTCCATCATATGAAATACGCTAATAATAGAAAAAAAGAATAATACGTAATAAAAAAAAAAAAGATGAAACAACCCATAATTACGATTGAGAATAAATTAATTATCAAGAGTAAATAGATAATCAAATTCTCTGTCCTATATTAAATAATACCCATAAAATATACTAAATCATAAGAACGTAAAGTATAAAATAATTTTTATAATAATAAATGTGAAAAAAATTCATTATACATCTAATCCTAATTAAACCCGTATAAATTGTACGTATACAAACAGACACCCAAAGTTTCTTTTCACTGAGTGATATTAAAAATTGACGAGTATATGTATTATTAAACTTTACGAGATCATTTATTTATACCGCATTGTTTCAAACAAACAAGATTTATACAATAGTACAGTAATTGTTTATTTAATCTGCGTATGCGTATACAACATTCATCGCACTATGGGGATTGCATTGGAACATAAATCCATACTGCTGTTGGCTGCATTCGCAATTTCTTTTATTTTTTTTTTCACCCCTCCCCCTCCCTCATCCTAAAACTATAGCAACTCTGTTAGGTGAATTTCGGTGAAACTGCCAGCTAGTATTATGCTATCATCAAATATCCATGCATTTGTATTCTCGTGGGCTTTCAAGGAATGTATGTATATCGCATCGCTCAATTAATGTTCGACGAGACTCGCGGCCAAACTTTCAATTTGGTTCGGCAGCACGTTTCTGAATTATTCAATCCACCCTCTAACCAACCCTCCCCATTATACCTATAAGAGCCGTACTATTAAACTCGTTTCGCGAGCTTTTCAACAACGGAGCTTTTCCTTCTTTGTATCGATTTCAACTCGTTGCCAGTTAACCTATGTATTTAACTATCTACTTATTTATCTTATGTATCTATACATATCTATCTATCTCTGCGTATCTATGTACCTATCTGTTTTTTAATAATAAATATGGATATATATTATAAGTTGATTTTTTGATAAATATTAAACAGGTTTAGTTTTCCTTTACAAATATTTTATTACGTTTGTATTCTTAAAAAAAAAGATATATAATATATTTATTAGGATTAATGATTGTATGTGTACATATATTGATTAATAATATATGTTAAATATGCAGTAATTGTTAATATGTTCTAACGTAAGGCTTTTTACATATGATTTCTACATATTGGCTTCTTTTTTTATTTTTTAATATTTCAATATGTTTGGATTTGAATTATATTTTTTAAAATTATATTTATTTTATAACAAGTACAGATAATGGTATTGTAATTATATAAAATATTTATTAATAGAATAATAAAATTACATTTGTATCTCAATTTTATTTTATTTTTTGTATACCTGACATTGTAATGTATTAATTATGAATTGGAAGTATATAAAGCAGTAATATATATATTTATCTTATTTTATGTAAGTTTTGTAGTATTGTAATATGGTAATACAATTATTTGACTAATATTTTATATGTAATCTTTCGCGTTTTTTAGATTAATCAAGGATAAATCATTGTACATTATATTTCAATAATGTTTTATACAAAATTTCAATGTATTATTTTGAACGAGTATTTTATGATGATTATTATTGCAGTAATATTTACGAAGACAATATATTATATAAAATATATATATTATCACAAGAACTAATGCTTGCTTTTCATATTTTTATTTCTTTCACGAATATTTCAAAAGCTTTTATACACGAACCAAATGAAAATACACTTGTACTTCGAGAAAACATACTTTCAATGTCCCTTAAGTGCCATAAGAGAATTCAACCGAACGAACTAGGCCACTACTGTTATTATCATTTGAACGATGACCTAGGTTTCTATTATGTTTTATCTCCTTTTTTCTTTTAACGTTGATTCTGTAAATAATGATACATTTTTCTTTGTATACATTTTCTTTGTAACAAAACAATGAAAAATGGCTTTCCGTTCGACTACGCATTGAAAACTATCAATTTTAGGACATTTATTAAATGTTCTTTTCTCTTTTCATTTTTTTTTAGACTTTTTGCAATAAAATAATTCAAGTTACAAATCAATATTTTTAGAGATGACATTTGTCAATTTTATATTTTAATCAAATTTTTAAAGTTAACATTCGTCATTCGCCGTTTAATCAATTTTTTCCTAACGGAATTTGTTATATTTTGATTAAATAATTTTTTTTTTTTTGTAGTATGACTTACTAACATTAAATTAAATCTATCGAATACTTTTGTTTTCTTTTTTCTAGGATATTTAAAATATTTTATAATTATAAATAAATCTAATGAAATTAAATAAATATATCCATACACACAAACACACGCGCGTGCGCGTATAAATAAGTAATTAATTTCAATTTATTTCTAAATCAAAAGAAAGTTTACGTTAAATTATTAAAACTATCACACACACACGAATAGAATGATTTAAGTTGAGATTCTATTTAAGTAACATTCTCACGTACGCACGTACGAACAAAATTGCATAATTAACTAGATACGATTTTATGATTATCCAACTATAGCAATGCGTTAATAACTACCTACCTAACGTTGCGAAACACTCGTCAAAGAGAAAGAAGAAAATGTAATACTACAGGAAGCTTAGCCTCAACTCTCAAAAGAGTTAAAAAAAGATAAAAAAGATTAACGAAAAGAAAAAGAAATAAAAAAGATATAATGAAAGGAGCAAAAAAAAAGTGGAAACAAGCGAAGCAAAAGTTTAAGAAAAAAGACTTTTCAAAGAAATTCCAACAATTCCATGAATTTATATTAAACAACATGGCTCCTATTGAAATAAAACTAATCTTCAACAGAAACATTATTTTCAGATTAAGAAATGTTGAATAATTCAATGATAAATCCTCTCTCTTCATATAATCGAAATTATAATCGAAGAAAAAATTTGTTGTGAATACTTTTTCTTTTTTTTTAATTAATAACAAATCTTTTCTTCGATCTTTCAAAGAATACGAATAAAAAGGAAAGAAACAAAACAAATAATTACCCAAGTGTAATACTGAGATGTAAATATTCTTCAAATGTCAATTCTTCAAAATAAGTTAGTAAAAAAAAAGACTTAATTAATGCTAAAAAATATTCTATTTCATGTAATACGTGGAAAAAGAAAAAAATTTCAAAATCAATACTTTCTGCTAGGATCTTCAAAATTCGCAGAATCATCGAGAAGAAAATGCGATAGGTTCGCCGTGTCCCGTTTTTCGAATCCTACCTATCATAAAAGTCGAACACAAAGTGTACACATACACATACGTATATGTAACCTATGTCTTTTACATAGAGACGTGTATACGTGTTTTAAAAAGAATGCTTCTTTGCGCGCGTGTTTTGTGTGTAATTCTTTTTCACTGTAAAGAGAACGACGAGAAAAAAAATGTGTACGTGACAGACAGACACATGGTTGCCTTCTGGCACATGTGTTGTATCCTGACATGACGACGATGACGAAGAATAAAAAAGGGACAAAAGAAATGACGAAGAAAGAATGAGAAGAAAAGAAAAGGGAAGAATCACGATCACGGGGAACAACACAGTTTGTAAAATGCGAATCTGTATCGAACGAATTATAAAGTTGAAAAAAGAAAAATTATACACGTAAATTATATATATACAAGATGAAATCAAATTTTTTCTAATGTTTCTAAGTTGGTCCAAATTTTCTACGCTTGTAATTTTATAATCGGTAAATTTGAAAAATAAAATAAATTAGTAACAAAATCGGTAAATCGATAAAAAAAATAAAATTAAAGAGATCTCGTAAAAAAATAATTAATTTTTAGGATCATCTAACAATTCATGGTCCATCATTGTATCTTATGAAAAAAAGGAAATATCGTACAAAATATTTATAATAACTTATACAATCTTTAAAAGTTTCTAGGAGGATCAAAAAATTGCGAAAATTTAACTAAATAAAAATTGAAAAAAAAAAGAAAAAAAAATACAACTTATCGTCAGTCTAACATGTCGTTGTTAACATCTGCGAATAAATTCATTCATATATGGATCATCACACGAACGTGACTGAAATTCGGCTGGAAATTTGGACTAGATCCCGAATATGCTTGTTATTATTATATTAACCTAACTATATATGTATAATATATGTTGGATTCTTGACACACACATACACAAACTGCTAACGACATTTATTATATATGGAAAAGTAAATGCGCTTAATACCGGTTGTATTAAGAAAATTCAATTAAAATATTTATTTAAAATATTCCAAAAATTTAGGATAAATAATATTGATACATTTAAATCTCTTACAACACGATTTGACAAACCACAATTTAAACTTTGACGCAATCCGTTATACATTTTTTTTTCTTTTTGAAACGAATTAATCGTATTATAGAAAAATAAAGTGTACTTATATATAAATTATCGAATAAAAAAAAACTATAATAAAAAAATTTATTTATTTATATATATAAATATGTGTGTGTATGTGTGTATGCAAACAAACACTAATATACTCGTAAACTGGTCAACAATGCGTTTAAATGATATGATTAAAATTTGATAATTAAAGGAAACGTGATATTTGAAATAAAACTTATTGACATCTGGATAATTGATTCGTTTTGATTTCGTTGAAATGAAATAGTAATGATTTGTAAGTTAGCACTTACCAGTTACCGGTGCTTCAATATCGATCATGGTCTTTTCTGAGCGTAAAATGGCTGCACCATCATTGACTATACGAAGAGCTGCTGCTTCATCGATTCTACCTTCGAGAGTAAAATGTTGTTTGAGGACTTCTGGTCTTGGTCGATCCGTTGCCGAATCGAAGACCTCTGCCACTGTTAGCTTCTGCGACGGTGGAAAGAGTACATCTGTCATGATAAACAAAATAAATTATCAATTAGTATATAATATTATTTTCTTTTGTTTTAATTATTTATTTATACAATTGAACAAAGATGTGGCAAAAGTTAAAAAACGACGATAATTATCAAATAATTGTTCGACAAATTATTCACGATCGATTCTTCACAATTTTACAAACTATTTTTTTTGTTTGTTTAACTTTCCCGTTTAGAAAGTTCAATTAAAAAAGATAAAAATAATTAATTCGTAAAATCATTCAAGAACTTTTGGTTCAACTTGTATTATTGAAATATGGTGTAATCATAATATTCATTGGTATAATAATAATAAATATAAATCATAATAAAATATAATAAAAAATCATCATTACGTAATCAAGAATAAATAATAATAATAAATAAATTATCATGATAATTATTGAGTATAATTAACATTTACATATGCAGAAAGTACTTAGCAACTATATATAAATATTTGTGATATTTAAATTATAAATAAATGGTTAATTAAAGTTTGTACGCTATATAAGATAGTCCAAACACATATGAATATTTTGTTAATGCAATTAATTAATTATTAAACAATTGGGCAATATGCACCTTTCTATTTACAATAGAAACAATTTATAATTGAAATTGACCAAGTGTTTCATCCACATTTTACACTTATATATAAATATACATATTTGCAAAATATTGAACCACAGTTGCAGTTTATGCGTTCGTTCAAACGTGAAATTATTTGAATAATTTTGCGAACCAATGAATATATATGTACGAATGTATGCATTATCGATCGAGTAATAACAACATATACTTTTTACTCAATGCTAATACTTTTTTTACACGTTCATATGATATATATAGTTCATAATTTTATCACATCAAAATAAAAATTGACATAAAAAATATCCCACGCACATTAAAAATAGTATCGTATAGATTAATATACGTAAATGAATAAATTAAAAAAATGTTCATACTAACATACAAAAAAAAGCTGATTTTTTCGATCAAACTCACTTTTATTTATTTTTTTTTTTTTAATTTAATCTCAAAAACGTTTCAACAAATCCTCGTATATTAGTACCTATAATAATTACAGTGAACTATAATAATAAATTCAAAACTTGAAAATATATTTTTAACAATTTATTTTATAATAAGAAATAATTTTCAATATAAAATAAATCATAAGTTTTTTCAATCCTTCGACTTATGTTAATTTACTGTCGTTATAATACCACCACCATATAGATATATTAGATAATACGTAATTTTTACAACACGTGTATATAAACAGTATGAATAATATTTAAGTAAATATTTGCAAGTGCTTAAGTAAAAAGAACACTTTTTGATAATCTGACATAAAAATTCACCTACAAACTCGTAAATGTGTAAAATATATATAATCTTTAGATAAATATTTATTATGTGAGTACGTAAGAAATAACACGAGGGGATTGTTTTACATGAAATTTACGTATGAACTTGTGTCAACTACACCCACACACATACTCACATAATTAAACGTATGTCTATAGAAATTCACGCGTACAATACACAAAGAAACTACATAAACGTATAAATATGTCCTAAGAAAAATACTACACGGTGAGATAATATTTCCTGAACAATTTTTACAATCAATAATTTTCTATCTAACATAATACATTTTTAAACTAATCGGAATAAAATGGTTTTTAAAAAATATTAATTGATTTTAAAAATCGACAAATATTATGATACGAATCAAAAGTACCTAGTTTATTTTCAAAATTAATCAAATAATTCTTTTTCTCAAGGTAGTTTAATTATCTTTTCGCATTGTTTAAAAAAAAATTATAATCCTACAAAGTCTAGAAAGAAATCAACCTATCTTTTATCAAACCACTTAAAAACTATTCAAACCCATTCAAATATACATAGAAAAAAAATATCATCTATGTTAATCCAACCCAGACACACTTTTGACCCAAAAATAACTTATGTAATTTAAATAACTAAAAATTTCATAAACGATCCAGAATAAAAATTCACTATTAACATCTAAAAAGCATCGATAGTAACGTATAAAAAGTATTAAAGCGTATAAAAACATCATACGTTTCCTAAATGTAATATTACTTGTTAAAAATTTCTATTTGACGAGCAACAATTCGGATTACCATAAATGTTAGTTAATGAGTTTAGACTGAACATAAACGATATAATTTATATAGCATGTATATTATATCGATAGGCTGCTTATGAGAAATACATATATACAAGGTTAAACATACATACATACATACACAAAGAAAGAGAAAAAGAGAAAGAGAGAGTTTTTAATCTGAAGTTTCTAATCTTCAATGCAGCCGCTTTTTAAACGTGTTCCGTTTATCGTACTGGCATTTTCTGGGTAGATATCTATTGTGCACAACCTATGTACCACACCGTAAGAGTATAACGTTGTTTACTCTCTGCTGAAATTAACCGAGAAACGCAAACGTTGGTTAATACGAACATTTCAGTACATTGCACTCTTTCTAGGACAAAGAAATATGCTACCGACTAGTATCTCTTTTTTTTCCTCTCTTTTTTTATCTCTCTTACTCTCCGTCTCTCTGTTTCCACCCACATCTTCCCCATTTACACCTTAACCACCCCCTTTTTCCTCATCCTCTTCTACTCTTTAGTTTTTACTAACTCATCTACGCCGTTTATACATAACACCGCAGATTGCATAGCTTTTCAACTCGAATATATGCACACTTTTTAAACGTAACACTAATTACTACGTAATGTTATTAAAATGTTATTAGAAATAAAAATTTATAAAAAAAAAAATATAAAAAAAAGACAGAGAGAAGATAACTATGAATATTATAGTTCTATGATATAACGTTCGTATGTAGTCAAATAATTTGAAAAATAAATAGAAAATGAGAGAGTGAAAAAGAAAGATAAGATATAAATATATATGTGCATTTATGTATACAATATATTAAAAAAATATATTTAAAAATTTTTTTATATATAATAACATTTAAAATAACTATTTCCTATATGATATTTGTTATTAAAAAACTATTTGTTATATTATAGAAGGATAAGCTGAAAATTTTTAATCCCAAAAAAACAAATTCTTAATTTTTTGTTCATATAAGATAATTTGAAAAAAAAATATATGTATATATCATATTAATATTCCTGCATGAATTATTTTAATTATAGTAATTAGGTTATCGCGTATTTGTTATACGAAAACATAATTTATTAACGTCACCTTGTAACCTTGCAATTATGGAAATGTTTTTACATAATAATAGTATTTCAAAAAAATGCACATAATATTTATTGTTTACGCATGAAAATATTGTTAGTTTTTTTCTTTAAAGTCTTAACACTAGAAATATTAAATCTATGATAAATATGATAAAAAAAAGTAGATGATAAAAAGCAGATCAGTAGTTCTAAAGTTAAACACACAGTTCATGCAGTACACTAATTTCTTCTTCTCTATTATTCAAATATTTTTGTGGGGTAAAAAAAATAGAATTATTTAATTTAATCATTATAATTAACGAGATATTTGCATATATTCGTATTATAAATGTATATAAATGTATAAAGTGAGTCAGAGAAAAGAAAAAAAGAAATTTGTCTTTATAAAAATGTTAAACAAAATTACACAAATATCATCTCATTTAGTCATTATAAAACATCGATTAGAATATAGTAAAAAAAAAAAAAATAGTCAATAAAATTATTAAAGCGATAAGTGAAAAATATATTTAAAAACGTCGATGTGTTCTTTGTAAATAAGTAAAAACATGTTATCACGTATGAGAAGGAAAAAAGAAGTTAGGAAAATAAATAAAAAAAAAGAAGAAATAATGTGTAGAAAGACCTGGCCTAGCTCTATCATAAATGACAGGTACATGTTTCTTCCATCGTTTTTGAAAAGCTTTACTAATCCGCATGAACTCGTTCTTATTGGATAACGAAGGTGAAGAAGAAGGAGAAGAAGAATACACCGTAGTCTGTTTATTCCTTTTAGGCGTGGACACTTTTTTCTGCCATTTGATATTTTCTTTCGAACACGATCGCCATTTTTTTTCGGCGACAGGAGACTCCGATGTATTGGATGATATGGAACGTTTTCGATTATTCGATAATATCCTTTTTGTTTGACGATGTGTCACCGAATTATCCTTAGCAACAACATCGACGCAATTATTATTCTCTTTTTCAATTTCATTTTCTGCCTCTGTTTTTATACAATTTTCTTTATTTTCTATATGTTTTTTCAACGCAACCCTTCTTTTCTCTTTTTTAAAATAACTTTCAATATTCTCTTTATTTACTATATCCTTATATAAGTTCTCTTCCTCCGTTTTTTTCTCTTTTTTTATACGATCGCAAACGTTGTCATTATATTCAAGATGTTTAATAACGTTTGATTTGTTATTGATTATATTTGACAGTATTTGATTACCATTAATCTGTCGTTTAACGCATGGCGATTTTGGAATTCCACCAATAATTTGAAAACGATAACGATAATCTTCTTTTTTTTTACTCGTACGTCTGTTTGCCAAAGATTTCATCAATAAAACAGACAGCTCCGATGTTTCGTTTCGTTCAACCGTCGTTGATTTTTCTTTATTCGCCTTCACCTAATCAACCAAATATATAATCATGTATGTTACCTACACGTTTTTAAAATATGTATTATTAATTATGAATTGTTTTTCTTTTTAAAACACTCTTTATAATTCAAATTTTTACTTTTCTACTTAGTCATTACAAAATTGATTCAGATAAAAGTAAGATTTTCTTTTATTTATTAACATAAATTGTACTGCTATTTGAAAATTGAAATAATTTAAAATTAAACTAATTTATTCTGTCAATTTGTATTAAATCAATTAAATAAAACAAAAAATTAACACACATCACCCTGATTGAAATTTAGATAACTTTTGTTCTTATAAATTTTGAATATTGCTGTATAATAT